TGGGGAAAAAATACAACTTTACCTATAAAATAATGGCTCTGAGCTGACCATCTGAGTGTGAAATGTGGGGGTTAAATAAGTTTATGAAAATATCTTTTCAATGCTCAACAGCAGCTAAAGAAACAATCCGAGTTTTAGATTTTTAGTCACTTCATTGGAAAAAGTAAATGGTCCTATGGAGTAGCTTGGTGTCATGTTGCCATCCTTGATTTGAGATTTCTTTTTTCAGGAAATATAGTACTGTGAATGAAACTGGGGCTAACAATGTAAAAGAAGGCCCAAATTAACTTCCTGAAACACTGAACAAAATCTTTGCCTAAAGTGATCAGAACAGTTCAGACTGTTTTCAGCACTATTCCAGACCTTTCTGCCACAGAATTAGCCCCGAATTTGTGTTGATATTATGTATGATAGCACATAACAATATTGAAGCTTTCTGAGGAAATAGTTGACATTACACTAAAAATATCCCAAAGTGATGGAACTTTATCCTACATAGAAATAAAAGCTACTCAGCCTTGACACCTTCCTCTAAATTCACTGAAGAAAAATGTTAGAAGGCTGTATGTGGAAACTATTCAAAGACATTAAGAAAGCAAATGCAGGAACATGATTTTTTCAGATTAGCTCAGTATTTCTAAAATTTTAAGCTTCTCATATTGCATCCTCCCAGAAATAAAAGTCTTGCATCAACCCAAAGCAGATAGATTAGTGAACTTACCTATGCCTTGACTGAATTAGGTTTAATGGATTGTCAAAAGGTATCTGTTACTTCTTCATTGGAGTCTAGGAAACTCTAACACTTATAGCTTGCTGAATATTTCTGCTTGAGACTCTAAGCCATCTTGCAGGAAGAAAAGACTATAACACTGCCAAAAGAGATACTGCTGGAAGACTGCATGGGGATATAAAACATACACACGCACAAAAAAAAATTACTTATATTTTGCATATTCCTCATATGCTTGGACAAAACTATGTATCTGAAAATGTCCTACTTGGGATTTAATACTGCCATGCTGTTATTTTAGGTTCAATGAACTAAAATACAACGTTTGTATGAGTCTATATTACTTCCTAAGCACTAGGGCCAAAAATAGCAGTTCTCCTAGATGAACCCTCTCATGTTCGATGAGAGTTACATGGACTGCAGTATCAGAAAGGGATCTGACAAATTCTGATAATGTAACATATTCCAGGATAAAGTAGTAGTGGATGGAATCAGTCAGTAGTTTAGCTATTTTCAAACTTTAAAGTGTGGCTTTCCAGCTCCCCTAACCTCCTCAAAGACATTGCATTTCTCTATCACTCAAACTTTGCAAAACAGAAATATTCCAATTCCAGACAGTTTTTTCCTTTTCATTATTTTTTTCTATTGTTTTCAGCCAGAAGAGGAGATAAGTGCTTAGATGGTAATTATTTGGGCATCAACTCAGTAGCTGAAGTGAGATTTCTGAAGGATTAGTAAAATAATTGAGAAGCGCTAGTATGTGAATTATACTTTTTTCCATTTTGCTTTCCATATGTGAGGTACGGCTTTCTCCATGAGGGAATTAAATCTGTTAAAACACAGAGACTCCTGAAAAAGAAGCAGTATATGCTATGTAAGTGCTACATATGCAAGGAATATAAAAGCCATATGATATGGCACTGAATGGTACTTATATTCTCAACTCTAAATTTAGGCTCCTTTTTAGAAATATTGCCCACTGCTTTCACTGAAATGTCTCCTCTGAAGCCTTGAAGATGTCTAATCTGTTCTGGGCTGCTCAGAAAACCAATGATATGGGGAAAAAAAGAGGAGAAAGTGGGTCACATGAAGATGAAATTTTCCATCAAGGAGAAGTTCCTGCCCTCCTCTCCATCTCCCCATTTGCGCACACTCAGCTCTAGAGGAGTGTGATCTGCTAGTCAAAATGATTGCACCCTTTCCATCTTTACCATGAAAGACAGAGTTCGAGATGTTCCCTTTGGTTCCTGCATGGGGGTGATAGATGGGGCAGTTTGTGAGATATAAAAAAGGGCCACGTACATCTCAGAATAAAGCCAAGAAAGGTTAGCCCAAGGGCAGAGATGGTCACAGATGCTGAAACAGGGGAGAAAGAAAATAAAAAGGCATCAAACAGTGTAAAGTTTGAAAGAGACACTTGTTGGAGATGAGGAAGCCATTCTATTCCAAGGGACCCAGAAACACTGATCTCCTTTTCTGCATCAAAGAGTTGTTTATAGATTGCTTAGCATTTCACTCCGAGGAGCAAAGGACCGTCAATGTAAAGCAATAATGTGAAAATATTTCTCAATGATCAATTATATGACAAGATGAACTTACGAGTGATTTTCTGACCAAAGGAGAAGAATTAAGGAGGTTTGGTGTCTGATTGCCCAGATAATTTGATGCTGGTGGAAAAAACATTGTGCAGTATTGCCAGTCGTTAAAATATATTTTTTCCTGCCTGTCAGAAAAAAAAAAAAAAAAAAAGTATTGTTAGCAGCTTTGGAACAACTGAAGGGAGGTAAGAGGTAGGGGCTTCCCCCGTGGGCTATGGTGCATACTCCACTATGGTGGTAACTTGCACATACCAGCTTCAAAGCAACATCCAGCTGTGGTTGTGGCTTCGGATCATCCACTACCATCTACGAGTCTGCAATGCCACAAATCATCAGCTTACAAATTGGCAGGCATTCTTCTGCCTTCGAGGACATACACAGGTTAGATTAAATCAAAAAAAGACAAAAATTATCTTATCTTCCTAACGGCAAGCCATGACTCCAGAGGGTTAAGTAAAGTGATTTCAGCTGGAATCAGTAGATATTTTATCTCAGAAGTGTGGACAATACTGAACTGTATTCCAGCAGGTCTGATCAGAAGATCCTTGGCAGAGATACTGTGCTGGCAGCCAATGCTTAGGGAAATGAAAACATAACGGAAATAGAAAAAAATCCAGTATCATATTAGAGTATTTAATTTGGTTTAGAAAGGCCTGGAAGTAAACTGACTTAAATAGCCTAAATCTAATCACCTTTGGGGCCCATCTTTCTTCTTTACAGTCATTTTTAAATCAGAGCTGAGGTAAGAACTGTAACTAAGATGGAAAGTAATGGTTATTGTTGTCACTATGTAACAGTTTAACATAATAAGAAAGAAGCATTATTCCTATTAGTGTGCATTAAGTAGTCCTTTCGATACACAAATTTCCCTCCACCTCACACAGGATTTTAGCTGTCCTGAGCGCTACACTGATAGGGGGTGACAGCGAGGAGCAGCAAATGGCACTGTTGTGTCCAGGGGCACCCAGCAAGCCCAGCGGAGGTGGGAACAGAGCCCAGGACTCAGGTGCAGCTCCAGGGCAGCTGCAGGGCTCCTTGAAAACCACTTGCTTTGCAGCTGACGGAGCTCATCTTCCAGGGCCAGCGTCAGTGTGAGGGAGGAGTGGGGACGTGTGGCTGCAGACTGCAGCGCCTTTGCTTTAAATGAGCTTTAGCTGCCCAGGAACCAAGCTCTGTAGTCTCAAACATGCCCAGTCTGTCCTCCAGGGCACAATGCCTGTGTTTGCCAAACGCAAGGTTAAACCTGAAGCTTTACTCCTGACAGAAGAGCTAGGAATGGGCCTTGCCTATTATTTTACTGTGCTTTTACCAGGACAAGCTCAGTTGATTTAAGCAGAGCTGAGACTGATAACTCATTTCATGCCACTTCCAAATCTGAAACTGTTTGGGTGCACCAGGGGACAGTGACTAGATGGCAGGATTCTGGGGTAAGGCTGTTTCCTGTAGAAACGCTTATCAAGCCCCTTTGTATACCCGCACCACTGCCCAGGCATTTACCCAGCACCCAGTGTCCAACACAGAAAGACACTGGATGATTTTTGCTTTATCTGGATGCCTACTAATTTTTCTTAAGGTTGAAAGCATTCAGTCTGAAGTACCTCCTTCTGGCTGGCACTATTAAATTGAGCTGTCTGCCCCCTCTACCCCACAAAAGGCAGAGAACAAATGTCCTTCATCCTATATGCTTCAGGTCCCAATTCTTCCCTTTGGAAGGTTTCCTCGCTGTTTTGATTAACAGAATGTGTTTCTGCTAGAATGTTAGATTTTGTAGTGGTAAAATTTGTTCCTGGTTATAGAAGGATTAATGCATCCCCCCTCTCTTTGTTTAACATGTGCCCACTGGCAGGGCTCTCTGCTGGGTCCGGAGCATGTGCTGAGGCAATCTGTTCGTCCACCTTTCTTTTACACGAGGCTTTTTTGGGGATTTCATTTATTTCCTCTGCTTTTCTTCTTTTTCCTCCTCACTATGGGGGACTTGGAGCAAAAGAGAAGGGTGGGGAGAAGCAGGAAGGGGCTCTGAGCACTTGTAAAGAAAAGCCTGCACACTTGCTCCTCCTAAAATCACGAACCTCTCCATGAAAAAGAGGAGAAACAGCTTGTTTCCTTCTTCCTTCTTAGAAAGGGCTAAGTCTCAGCAGGCTGAATAAGCAAATCAAATAAAGCCTCGTACCAACTGCAGCCAGGAACTTTATTCTCTCAGGCAGGTGAAGAGATGTAGAAACGTCTGTGCTCGAGCTGCTGTAAGACCCTTCCTTCTGCAACCGAGAGCCCCTGGCTTTAGCAAAGCCACGTTATTAATAAGCATCAGGGGCTTAGGAAAACAAAGGCTGGAGGAAGGGGGAGCCTTAATTTAGGAAGGGGTCCAACAAAGACAGCACGTTTAGGAGGGGGAAGTATCTACACCCTTGGAACAGAGAAAGTGGCGAGTGCCAGCTGCAGAGAGCCTAAAAGAATGAGTGTCTTGGATGCTTTTGTCTCCTTATATGGTAAAATGATACAGAGGGGTTTCACTCGGCTGGGGAAGGCAGCAGCCTCTCTCCACACAGCCCTGGCTGCGGAGCTGGGAGCGGGAGAGCTGCTCGTCGCAGGCACGAGCGGTACCGCTCCGCCTGCCAGCAGGCCACCCAGCTCCCGCCCGGTCTGTTAATGGATGTGACCCCCTGCCCCTGCTCCAGGAGCTGACATTAACTGCCTGCTACTGCTCTGTAAGTAAATATCCCTTTTTTACCATCCCCACTCCCTCCCCAGGACCCACGGAGTGATTTTTGCTTTAAACAAAGGGTGCAGACGGAGAGGTGGAGGGGGTGTTTAATGCCCCGTGCGTTGCTGGATAGGGATGCAAGGAGAGCCCTTGCCAGTCCCCGTCTTCCCTGAGCACACGGCGAGAGTTGTGAGGAGGACACAAAGATGAATCTCTTATCGAGGCAGTAATTGCTGCGTGTCTGTCCGTAGGTGACACATCAGCGATCTAATGAGGCATGGGGTCATTTCACTTGCAACTGTTTTTAATGACAGCAGTGTACTGTGAATGTAACCCATCGGGGAGTTCATAAAAAGTAGGGGATGGGATCTTCGGTTTCTTACACCTCTGCGCACGCCTCCCGCTCGACAAAGGATGAATTTTGCAGTCGCAAGAGCAGATGCACATGAAACAAAGGTAGCTGGTGCTGCTTGCAGGCAGCCCGGAGGGACAGACTGTGCATGGGAAAGGGAAGCCACCAGCACTGTACTTCTTATTTTTATGCAGAGACATTAAGTTAGAATGCAAATCCCAATAAATAGCTCTGAATTCTTTCCTTTCATGCTTCCCTCCATGTGCATGCATGTGTAGCCACAATAGCCTAGGTTCTTCATGTATGACAGCTCTGTCTAAATACTAAAGGACATAGTGACTTTCATTGTCTGCATTAATGGTTATCCTAAACTTTCTGCATCCCTGAAGGGGTGCAGCTTTTATTTAGCTGACTAGCTGACCCACAGAATTGAGCCTTGCTGTGTACAGAGGCATAATCACAAGAAGGCAAACCTAATAAATCTGTATACTAGCAGCAATGATTTTGCTTTTGCTCCTCCCCTGACTCCTGTCTAGAAGTGTATTAACTAAGATTGCCGATTGATGCCCCAGGTCACGAATTAGAACATTTATTGAGGGCTACACATAATCTGTTCACTGCTTTAAGTAGGAATTGTCCTTGAAGTGCCGAGAGAAGAACGTGTATTATTAGGTATTCACATGCGGCCAGCTGTAAAGGGATGCTATGCCTGAGGTTGCCATTCGGTTTCTGCTTTAAGCTGTTCTACACTGATGGAATGCCCTGCTTTCTAACCCAAAATCTTCTGTCCCTTTTATCAGTTAAATGGTGATCTTGGAAAATGCTTCAGGTGTTTGGATTTGGGGGACAGAAAAATGTTTCTTAGCGTATTAATTTTATAAAAATGATTTATAGTTCTCTGTCCTTGCACATATAGCTGGGAAAGGATTAACTCTAGAAACTGCCCCATCAATATAACCTGTGTATGTTGACCAAATTTGGGGAAAATAATTGAAAAATAAAGCACTAGATTTATAGAAAACTTGGTACCACCCACCTGATATAGTGGGACTATCTATCCCAAACCTGACCACAGCACTAATAAAACTATATTTTATGCTAACCATAACAGAGATACTGACCTCTGTGGCTATCCTTTGGGTTGAGAAATAACATGCAATTGAGTTGAACAGGATAGCTAGAAGGACACAAACTGCTCTTGCTCTTGTATCTGGGGGCTCTCACTTGACATTTCCTTTTGACAGAGCAGGCCTGAGGCTGGGGCAGCACCAGATCTGGAAGGCCTTTGAGAAAGCTTAGGAAATCCTGACATGGCAGAAATGCTGGGGTGGAATATTCCTATTTTCGCAGCCTGTGTTGCTGGAGGAACTGGCAGTGCTACACATGCAGGCTCCAAATATTCACTATCAGGATATATAATTTTTAAAGCAGATAATGATTTTTTTTTTAGATCACTACTATCACATAGCAATAGCCATTGGAAATGGTTTGTACATGCAACGCTGCTGCCCTGAAGAGCATGAAACTGTGATTCCCAACTAAAGGACCCAGGTACAGACAAGGCCCTGTTTTCTACTTAATATGGTTTCTTAACAAAGTCAACAGAAGTCCAGGTACCATTTCCTGAAATCACATTTTTTAATCCATACAGGTAGGCACAGAGTTATCCCAATTAGGACACATAAACAAGCAGACACTTTTTATAGAAATGTTAAATGGCTTCTTGAAACACGAGCAACATAGCCCTACAGGTTTCCATCATGCCTATCAGGATACATTAAAAAATCATGAGTGTGAAAGGCAGGTTTTGTGGCAAAGGACTGTAAGGGCTGGTGACAGTTTGTGCTGTATCACATTGTATCAAATTTAAATCCAATTCACAATTTTGTCAAAAGGGAAAAAAAAGGAGGGGGAAATCTTCTTCTCCATGCAAATGGGACGGAAAACCGAATTGTTGCCTGTTGCTGCTGGCCAATACACTGCCACTCTTTCTAGGATCCCACAGACCAGCTACAGGCTGCCGTTGCCTCACCCGTGTTATGCTGGATAAATTGGTCCAGAGCATCTTTGGAGAAACTCCGCCTGTGGTAGTGATCCAGGCAGCCCCTTTCCCCCAGTGGGGTGCTGCTTCAGAGACTGGGCATCGCATAATTTGCATTTCTAGGCTGATTAATGTTAATTGTGCACTTTTAATGTTTCATTTATATATGCACAGTTATTTGTGATGCAGATTCACCCCAAGTGAGCATGTGAAGTGGCAGGTTAATGACAGGTTTCATGGAAATAAATCTTGGATACATTGACAGCTACTGAAGCATTAATATTTCAACAATACTAATTAGCTTGTTCTATATATATGGTTGGATTAGAAACCACTGGAGGCTTCTTCTGAGGCTGAACTCCAAAATACTCATGCCAGGTGAAAAGAAATATGATGCTCATTTCATGCATTTTCACTTACCTTTGTGCATTACATTGTGCAATATTAACTAGGCTGCCAGATAGTTATTGAATATACAGCATTACATAGTAAGAGGAATGTAAGAGTGTAACTCTGACATAAGGACTAATGTCTCTACCTTCCACAACAAATTTGCCACATAGAAGTTGCAAATATATCTGCCCCTGCACAGCAAGTCCTAGGACTGCTCATTCATTGGCAGGCAGCACGTTCAGACTCTTGCTGAGCACTGTTACAAGGGTTCAAAACCTACTGCTCTTTACCTTGCATGATAAAAGCCATGAGTTGAGTCAAACACTGAATTAGTAAATTAGTGAATTATTATTAGTAAATATTAGTAAAATAGCTGTAACCATTTCCCTAGCTCTGTTCTGTCATTACTCTGAAATGCTCTTGGGCACCAAGGCTCTCCTCAGTGCCCAGGATCCCAGATCTTCCCAGTTCTTCCTCCTCCATACTGTGCCATGTGTCTCTCTATGGTGCTCCTTCTTTGCTCTTCAGTTAAAATGATTTCTCCCACAAAAAGTTTGCCTACATCCTTGTCCCCAGGTTCCTTCTGTCTTTCTGTGTTCACATTTAAACCCACCCACGCAACGCAAACCCTCCAAACCACTGTAAGTGCCAGTTATTTTAGACAGAAGTGGCCTTTGGAGTCTGGTACTCTGTAAGCAGAACAGGAGGGAAAGACCCAGGGCTGCTTTGCTAGAGAGCAGGACTAACCACAGAGCCTTCTTCCTCCTAGTATCCTGTCAGCTTCACCCCTGGCCTCTCCAGGGAGAAGGAAACAGAGTATTTGGGTCAGTCTTTTATTTCTGTGTCCTAGGGCATGTTATGCAGGATTTTAAAAATGTAGAAGAATTCAGAAATTTCATTGTTTGGTCGCATTTGAAGTTTTCAAAATATTTTGGGGGGGTCTCATTTCCCTGGGATTAGCTGTGTTGCTATCAACAAGCCATTCTTTTCTGGAAAACAAAAACAAAACCGAAAAAGTATCTCCATACCTCCACTGATGTTTAGTCTCTGCAGTCATTTGGTGTATACATTATTTATACCAGGTAAAGATGGAAATAACAATATTTTTATTAATATTACAACATTTTATCCTCTACCACCTTCCAATATCTGCTAAAATGCTCTTTCTAGAAATACATCTTTCTGTACTTAAGTAATGGCAAATATTTGACCTCTCCATTTTGAGTAAGCCTTTGTTTATTCCACAGGAGAAAGAAGGCAGATATTTGTTTCAAGAGGGTTTAAAATTGAACATAAGAAGAAGCCCTTCAGCTTTAACTGTGCTTTTTTGTGCTATGATAGATTTAAAAGTCATGCTCCTTGTTATTTAAATAGGCTCCTTTTGTAATTGAAAGCTATAAAGGAATGTTTGCAAAACCATACATCCTCTAGTCATTTCAATTCCAGCCTTAGATAATCATAGTGTAATTTGTGTGGGATAAAGTGTCAAGATACCATCTCTTCTGTGGCATCTCTTATTCCTACTACCACCACTGGTAGCTTACTAATTACTGGAAAAGCTCTAAATTAAAGCTGATCCTTGCTGATTGCCAAACACAGCAAACTACATGGAATCCACAGCTGGACTGTTGCTTTTCCACTACTGTAATTGGGATTAATTTAGCCAGGCACATTAGAAACCTAAAACTTCTTGCAAAAGAAACTTTCTATGAAATAGCACACTTTCCGATCCATGATCGGCTAAGTGTGCAATCCAGACAGGAACCAAGTGTGCTTTCATTATCTGCACATGCTAATGCAGTCTGTCTGCTCAGAAAATTGCTCTAAACTACTTCTTAAGAGGGGACACGGGAATGTTATTCCATAGGCAAAGTAAGTCAGACCTGTACAAGAAGGCTAAGTTGATGGAAAAACTTAGACATGACTCTGAAGACTGTTTCAAGGTAGCTATAAAAAGTCTATTAAAACTGAATATTGTTTGAAGTGTCTTCTAATGGCTATCATATATATAAAGAAAGAAAAAAATCAGGATATTTAAGAAGAGATTTAATATAGTGATAAAAATGAAACCCAGGTTAAAAAAATACTAAATCATGACTTGGAATAGCTTTGCCAGATTGCTTCTGGGAGATCTTGGAAATTTTACTGTGAGCTTTATACTATCATGAGGAGCAAGAAACGCCTCTCTAATTAAATACTTTGCTTTCAATAAGCTAAACTGGATGTAGACCGTGGTAAAACAGTCCACACACGTTCTGGGAGCGCAATGAGATGTTATGTTATGAGGCCTTGATTTCTTAAAAGCAGAGTGCTGAATTCATTTCATGAGGCTTCAGCTTTATCCTGGCTGATTGCTCATCCATAGCAGCAGTAGCAAGAGAAAGAAGTTTTCAACTATTTTCTCAACTTAAAAAAAATGACAGAGAAAATAAAGTGCCTGAGCATCCCAACTGCATTTATGAGTTCTACGTAAATCCCAAATCAAGAGATGCAGGGATATGCCACAGCTCATTCCCTGTAGTAATCATGCCTCCGCTTTTCAAGGACCTGCACAAAAATGATGGTATGAACAAGCATGTTAGTAACAGCCCTTAATGTCTCAGTAATCTCAACACACATGGCTGCAGCAGAGCAACAGGAGTGCTAGTATTATCCATCATAAGCAAAGAAACAGGACTCTTCCTAAATACCTGTGGTCTTCTTCCCGAGCCTTTTAGGGGGATTGCTGCTGAGCTCAAGGCTAACTCCTTGACAGGTTCTGAAGACGTCTCAGCTGTAAAGACCTGACTTGGCTCCCCTTGCCAGAGCATGGCAGCCAACATGGTCACCTGGAGAGTCACGCACCCAAGCAGCAGGAAGACACAACACCTGCCCCACAGCGAGCTGGACTCCAGGCCCTTAGGGTTCCCCTTCCTCGCTCTGTTCTACTGCAAGAGCATCTGCTGGTGTGCAGCAGAACATGAGATACACCCGGACAGCCAAAGAAAGAGAGCTACAACCTCTTAATATGTTCACGAAACCTAAATCTGATGCATACAGGACTACTTCATGTGTTCGTGGTTTGCACCTTTCTAGCTTAGTTGCAAGCCCTGAAATTCAAGTGGATCTGACTATATCGTATATCTTTCTTTTTTTCCATGACAAATGGTCATTTCTTCTCTTGCTCAAGTAAATCAAAAATAAGATTTTTTTTTTTCTTCCCCCCTGCATGGCATCCTGGTCTCGATTGGAAAAATGATTAGCTCCTAAAATAGTGACTTGCAGTGTCTTCAACAATATGATAGATAATGAATGTGGCAGTAGCTGCTAAGTTACGGGAAAAGAGTCACCCTTTGCCAGAAAGATGAGCATAGTTTGATCTGCTAGCTCCTAGTTGCAAAGAACATAATAAATCTTCACACTTTAGCATTTGGAACGTTAACATAAATTGTTTCCAAACGCTCTAGACCTGCATGGCTTATGTCACTAGAGTTGCCAGACACAAATCTTCCTTTCTCAGGGGAAGGAAAATAAACAGATAGAAGAATTCTCCATGTGCACAGTTCTTCAGAAAAAAAAAAAAAAAAAAGGTTACATGGGAGAGGTGTGTGTCTGTAGTGGGGGGAAGCTGGGACTCTCCAAAGAGCTTTTATTTCCCGTGCAGGTGGTGAGCAAAATACCCTGTTCTCAGGGCACAGGTAAAGCCCTAGTCACACTGGCAAATGGCAAATCCCCCTCTGGCTTCTACAGGGGGTTAATACCATTAGAAAAAGACAAGAAGACATCAGAGTTTAATTTCACCAAATAAAATTTGATTCCTACCAATTTCTCTTTGCTCTCTCTCTCCTATGTGTGTGTGTGAGCCTGTACTTTTCAGTGTTTTCAGCAACTGAGGCGCTGAAGGGGCCTGAAATAGGAGATGGACAGAAATCTCTTACTAGGCTTGAAAACATAGCCAGAAAGAGCAGACATAATCGGGGCAGAGAGTGCCTGCTTTCACTAGTCAACACCGTCATGGGATGGGGGAATACTAGCTGGTTTCTTAAAGCTCTTATGATCCGTGTTTTTTTGAGGTAATAATAATTTAATAATTATTTCTACTTAAATGAGATTGAGAGGAGAGAGGAAGAAGAGGAAAGAGGCATATTTTTAAAGTTAATTTACTTCCTTTTTCCAGTAATTTTCATACCACTTTTTACTTCTTGAAAGACACCATCTGGGTACTGCTAGCATTTGGAATAAGCTGTGATTTCTTTTCTCAACATTAAAAGAAAAGGTGTTTCCTTTTTGTGAGATATTTAGTGGCTAATATTGCAGGAGGAAAACTATGGAAGAAACTAATTTCTCATTATAGTGTTGAAAGCAATCTGAAATGGCATACATGTATGTATGCTGTGACTACTGTGATGAAATCTCAAGACCTTATTGTACCACAAACGTGTCAATAAGGTGAATTTCTGGCCCTGCAAAGCTTAGAGTCAACAAATATGAAACAGAAGAGGAAGAAATAGATTAATGGCAAGGAGGCTGAAGAGTGGTTTGTGTCAGTCCACAACTACCAAACTCTTTGTGTCTCTTAAAACAATGCATAAAACCTGTATTAAAGTTGTGTGGCTTTTGCACATATCATGAACTGACTGACTAGCAAAGTAAAGGACTACAATCACTAAGTTGCAGGCAAATAACATTGCTCAGTATGATTTTTCATTTCTTGTTTGTAAGACAACAGTGAAATGATTGGCTCGATTTTCCTCCTAATTCTTCAGTAGGTAGACCTGTGATTACTTTACATTTAACTTCTTCTCTATCATGAAAATATTAGTGGATAGTGAGATCCAGTCTGATACCAAGATTTGAACAGCCTGGAATTTGAGGATGTTTCAGGTAACTAAAATGCAGAGTTTGGCCATCTTTTCTTACCATCTTTTAATTTCTCAGATCACTGGATCTAAGACTAACACTGTCCAGAATTGCCCCCCGTAGTGTCTTTGTATAGGAGAGGTCCCCACTAAATCAGTTTGGGACATAGAAATGAGGTCTGATCTTCCTGCTGTTGTAGTATGGGCTCAATCCAGCATCACAATCTTTGAGAACATTTAACAAAATCAGATCCCTTTCAGGATATGGGGACAGATATCACTGTATTTTATAAAACAGTGGCAGTGACTTTTCTATTACATAATGCTTGCTTCTGATCCTGTGGAGGAAAAAAAGAATACAATATTTGAGAAGAAAACGCCGTAACAAAATCACTAGGGCACCCAGTTGTGAAGAAAGAGTCCTTGCTTCCAGTCACAAACCATTTCTATAGTTTGAATTTAGCAGCCTTTGGATGAAGGACCGAAATGATACATACACCTTTAAAGGAATCACACGTTATGTTTTGGGTTTTTACACATCTTGATTGCAGAGAAATTTTCATTCTTTGTTATCACGCATTGACTTCTAACTCAGAGCTGGAAAAAACAGTTTTTAAAAAAGGTGAAAGGTGCAAGTTTGTTAACAACCCCTACCCACGTCATCTTTGTAATAATTCAAATTGACTGTGCAAACAAATCTTGTTACGAAAAAAATTAAAAAGTCCAATAAAGTCTGAGAAAAAGTTACAACTTTCTGTCCTGCATATAGACTATTTGGACAATGGTATCAATCCTCTCAGATGCTGTCATACATGCACACACCAGTTTATACTGGTTTGTCTCCATTAATTTTGCTGCAATTACCCCATTGAAGGAAATGAAGTCTTCCCTAGTTCTCTCAAGGGGAGTATAACTGTGTTACGTAGGCGAGCAGTGTAAACTCTTCCCCCTTCAAGTGCCCTAAAATCTTAACCAAACCCCAGCTACAGGGAATACAGGAAAATAATAAAAACTGAAACCTTGGAAAAGAGCTGAGAATTTGAGAATGCCCCCAGGGTGACTCTTGCAGCCAAAACAAGAGGACAAACTCCAGAATTGAGGAACTTTGGCCAAGAACGCTGAGCGAGGAACTGCTTCTTGCTTCAAAGTGAGAGCTGATGTTGGCAGAAAGACCACAGCTGCTCTCAATGTCACCTGGGTGTGAAAGACAGGGGTAGTTACGTAAGCCATTAGTACGCAAAGCATTTAAGGTTTTATAGATGAAATTTGGCTTAAAGTGGAGATCAGGGCTGGCAATCTGTACAGACCCTGCCGCTCCATCTGGGAAATGCCCCTTCACCAGGAGCCTGCTCCTGCTGTCACCGCTGAGCACTTTGCAGGTGGGACTCACACCGCAAGCCTCAGCTGAGAAAAATGCTGATGACTCTAATGAATCCCAGACACGGAATAAATTGTCTCAAGCAATTATAAACATTCAAGCTAGTACTCAAAAGCATTCATGTCCTTGCTGCTTATGTGTGAATCCAGAAAATGCTGGAGACACAGGAAACCAAGGGAGCAAATAGCAGGTGTCCCTGTTTCAGAGATACATCTATTTTGTTTCTTCTAGTTGCTTTTCCCTTCCGTAAACATTATTTGAAATCCACCTGCACGAGAGAAGAACCACAGGCCCCCAATCCCGTGCTGTTAACAGCTCCTGGAGCCCTGTGTGTGAGCAGAGAGGGAGGGCAACCTGGCTCAGTGCAGGGCAATAATTGCCAGGTAGTGGCTCATTGAGAATATACAGAAAGGAGTGGAAGCACTTAGCTGTGGTGCCTGTATGTGACTAAAGTCTACCAGGTGTTACTCCTTCCTGAGACATGCTGGCTCATCATTTGAAGGAGCTTGATTCACTCCATTGGCTACAGAGGTAGCTCCTCACTTTGGGGGCTGCAGGTTAGACTTGCTTTATATTCCTGAAGCATCCCATGTAAATTCTTCACAGTCAGGTTTTACTCATATTTCTTTCTCAGGTCTCCAATACTAGCTCCTGTAAAAGATAGGTCAGTAGATGGCTAAAGTAGATGGACAACCATCTTTATCCAGTATTGCACGGTTTATAGCCCAATTTCTTCCTATTGTGCTGGTTTATCTGACTGAAGGTTGAATTGAAATGGAAGTACAATGGGATAAAGTGAAATGGATAATAAACTCTATTTTGGTGTTTGGGCCAACAGTAGTTCGATCTGCAATGTTCTGCTTTTCTTTTTATGGCAGGATAGCCAGACACCAGATACCACCATGACTGAACGCTTTGACTGCCACTACTGCAAAGAGTCCTTGTTTGGTAACAAATACATCCTGAGAGAGGACAGTCCCTACTGTGTGAAGTGCTATGAAAGCCTTTATTCCAACACCTGCGAGGAATGCAAAAAACCCATTGGTGCTGACTGCAAGGTATGCTGGGTTTGTGTCTTCCTACAGAAATCTTGCAGAGTAGCCTGGGTGTCATCCCTTACCTCTGAGCACTTGTCTTCAAAGATGAGGGCACAAACGGGAAGGCCTCTGTGTAGAAAGTGCCTGTCCTCTAGCATCTTGTTCGCTAACAGGAAGAACAAATGACTTGATCCTCTAAAGTGCTAAACACATTTTTGGAGCCAACGGGAACAGAGGGTACAATTTAAAGCGTTTAAAAAAAAAAAGGGAGTTTTCAGGTATAAAATTCAACCTTTGATATTAAAAACACAGATGCTCCTGCTTTTCTTCCCTCCCCCCCAGTTAATTAATGGTGAACTTTCACATTTAGTGACCTTTGTTCAGAGGTAATAAGTGCTGGTATTTTATTACAGCATTTTTTATTATAGCTGGCATTAAAGATGAACAACATTGTCATTATGCTGGAGCCCTTACAGGTGTCTGAGGCACGGTACTGTCAGCTAGAAGGATTCATGCTTTTCACCACATCTCTAATTTACCAAGCACGTTAACAGAAACACAAAAGCACCCCTCTCTCTGTAAGCCATGAGAATCTGATGTTAGAAGCATCAGCAATGTATTAGGAGGGCTAAACTCCCCATGAGGCCGAGCGGGATCTGGGAAGGTGGCAGAAATCAGTTTTGTCCACCTTTTGAGCAGAGGGATTTAAGCCACTGCTGGCTTTGCAGCGGGTATACCCATAATTTGGGTATCATTGAGACAAGACCTGTGATGTTAGAACCATGCTCAATTCAATCCAACGCAATCATGATGAGCTTAATGTGGGCTCATGGAAGTCTCCTTAGAACCCTACCAATTTCTGTAGTTCATATTTATACTACTGGCTTTGGAGATTTACAGACTCAAATACTCACAGAAGGGTTGAGGTTGGGAGGGACTTCTAGAGACCATCTAGTCCAACCCCCCTGCTCCAGCAGGGACACCCAGAGCACGTGGCACAGGGTGGCATCCAGGCGGGTTTGGAAGATCTCCAGAGAAGGAGACTCCACAACCTCTCTGGGCAGCCTGTTCCAGGGCTGTGTCACCCTCACAGGAAAGAGGTTATTCCTCACATGAAGATGAAACTTCCTGTGTTTTAATATGTACCTATTACCTCTTGTCCTGTCACTGGCCACCACTGGGAAGAGTTTGGCCTCATCCTCTTTACATTCCCCCTCAGCTATTTGTACATGCTGTTCAGATCCCCTCTCAGTCTTCTCTTCTCCAGGCTAAACAGGCCCAGCTCGCTCAGTCTTTCCTCATACAATAGATGCTCCAGTCCCTTAATCATATTCAAGGCAAGCACTTTAGTGAACTGTACTCCTGTACGTATTCAGGAAAAGCTGCCAAATCATGAACCACAAACTGGCTAATATTGACCTGAGTAACAGACCAGCTAGAATGCATTAGCATCTCAAATGCAGCCTGATGATACTGGAGTCTAAGACTGCAAAGGAAACAACATGATGCCCTGCTTGCTTGAGCTGTGCACTGCTGCACCACACAGAAACACTGACCACATGAGGTCCATCCACCTGCATTTCATTTAAAATAGCTGGGACATCTGGAGTGTATGCCAGTTTTATGCTGTCTGAATGAAGACAGATGATATTTGATTGATGTGTAGTGGTTTCTTGACCACCAAAGGTAGACTTCATCCAATGTACAACCTCCTTGTACCAGTTTGACCTGCTCAAAGTTGGCCAAGAGATTCAATGGCAGAGTGACTTAGCAGTGGAATAGCAATTTCCATTAGGTGGCTGTGGGATTTTTTGACTGTTTTAAGTCCTGAAGTTTGATTTCCTATGCCGTCAGTCTGTAGCTTGAGAAACACCAGGTAGTCCCTATTACTGGTACTACCAGCCTACTACTAGCTTGTAAAATCACAGTTATAAAAATATATGCAAATTTGGATTGGAAAAATGCCAATTCTTATGTCTTCCAAATTGAACTACCTTACCCTACTAGAAAATCGGTAGGAAAGCCTCTTTCAGAATCATTAGAAAGGAGAATGATTCACCATCATGACTGGCAATAATCTGCAAGAGGGTGTAGCAGTGCCAACTTTCCTACAGCTCATAAATTAGAGCTGGACTGACATGGACAAGCAAAATATTTCTGCCCCATTCTAGAACGTACTTTGTTTTAAAGTCTCTTTCTAATCCCCTGAGAAGATATTTCTATGTGTTGACATCCAAGAATTTCAAAACTTGGACTGATTTCAACAAATCTTGGGCAAAGTATTCAGGAACTAATCAAGCTGAACTTTTCAACCCAGATTTATGGATTTAGGGCGTGTGGGTGTTATCCGATATACTTCTCTTCTGTGTTTTTAAACAAAACACAGTCTAATAGCATTTAGAAAAAAAAGGTAGGCAATATAAGACTATAAGTGTAAAGAGTTAAAACTACATCTGAAGAATAGAACTACAAGATAGAGAATAAAGATTCCTTAAACAGTTTAAAAGTGTACCAAAAACAAATCCTTTTTTTGTTTCTGTGACTGCTGTTTGTGCCTGTCTGCCCTTGAACCTGTAGCTTTTGAAACCATTGACTAATTTTAACTGAATCTTGACAGATGGATAAAAGTTCCAAACTTGTTAAGTTTTCTGTGGTAAGAAAAAAAAACACACACTTTGTTGTTCAGAAAAAAAAGAGATCCTGTTAGTGTCCCCACTGACAGGAAAAGTACAGTAGCTTTTCAATTACAGCAGAAGACACCAGAACACTTGTAAGTGCCTCAGCAGCAAGAAAAGTTTCAGTTAAAGACTGCGTATAGTGTGAGTATGGATAACTCAACGTTGAGACCCAAAGTCACAAAAAGTTGTGTTTCTGCACCTCATTAACTACATACACACATAACACACATAAGTATATAAACACATTATATGTATTTATGCATACACATTTGTAATTTTAATGTATCTTGGTAGGCACTGAATATGTGCTCCACAAGTCTTAAGAAAATTGCATTTTTCTCTGAACAAAGAAGTCAAAATGTACCTTGAATGACACAGGCATGCTTGCTGCATGTACAAAGAATGGGCTCCATATTTATTTGTGTGTTCTGATATAGTCTTTATGCACTGTAAAATTCAGAACCAAAATTTAATGGTGTGATAATATTGTGAGTGCTTATTTGTCTGGATGGCAATGATTAGAAAGAAAAAAAAAAAGAATTTTATTAGTGGCACAAAGAGCAACCCTCCTACAGTTGAAAGAGCAATATCAAAGTAAAACAGGTGCTGACAAGGGAAGAGCAGCTCTCCATCTTTGACACTAATATAGTGTTTTTCTCGGTGCCTATCAGCACTGCTGCAAAGCATCATCTCACCTGAATTAAATTTGAGCCTGTTCAGCCACTGGTAATGGTCAAACTTTTATAGCATTGGCTCTAAGAGAGTCAAACTGGTGCCAGATTTTCACCCCATGTTGTAACTACAGTACAGAAAAGTTGTAAGATACGGATTTGAAGACAAGCTTTCTTGGAATTCAAAGCAGGAGAAAATTTGTTTCACTACCTTCCAATCTTTTTTTCTTTTTTTATTGTGAATGTAACTGAGAAATAACTGTTTCTATATTATAAATGCTACTCTTTTACCAAAAAAAAAAAAAAAAGGAAAAAATAACTGAATGACATGTGGTGTTAATTACACCTCTGGATTTAGGCCATTTTGTTAACCGTAAACAGTTCTAGCTGATGTTATGAGGATTTCGCAGGCAGATGAAAAGCTTCATAAATGTAGGATGTAGGAGGCAGTGGCAGACAGGAGAAAAACCGCAATGCCATTGCTCTTGCCGCCGTTACACTTTAGCCATATGCCCAGAGGTTCTCATGGAAATCTACTCTTGGGAGAATGAGCTGGCTTTTCATGGCCTGTGTCTCTGGTGAATGCTCACTGCGCCTGCTGTTGCACACCTCTGCTTGCCTGAAGGACGGTGCCCTCTTTCTGGAAATCCATCCGTTATGTTCTCATTTGCTTAACTGCTTAAATGTGACTTCTAGTTGATTTTGGCTTTTGGAGCACTTTCTCTGCAGGCTCTTTGGCAGAGAAGCCATCACAAATGCAGGAAATACCTGCAATAATCCAACGTTTGCTGTGGGCCGCAAGCTGGCCTTGGCAAGGAGGCAGGGGGGGACAAATCTCGCTGTGAAATCTGAGAATGAAATTAAAAGTGGATTGTGATATAATGCTACTGTGTCAAGAGGCAGGCCAAAAATGAATCAAAAGGGTCAGTCTTACATATAAACTAAGCAAGAACTAAAGCCTGTAAAGCAGGAAAAGGAGAAATGATGTGTCTTTAATTTTTAAACCCTGTGCTGAGTTTCAACTCTTTTCTGTTCATTACTGAATCGGAGTAGTTGAAAAGCTGAAGAGCAAGAAGAGCAAGAAGATCTTTATCTCCCCTCAGGTGACTGAAGTGCTGAGTTCACCAACATGTCACTTAATTTTGTCTTTTCTAAATTCCTCTTGATGAGAAAGTACCAGCCTAATATATTTTAAGTAGTCTGCCAGATTCTGCATGCCTAAAATCCATACAGCTTTTTTGTTGTTGTACCCCATTTCCTCTGCCCAAGCTTTTGAATAAGATCATTGTGGCAAGCAAACAAAACAAGCCTGATGTACTTCTCATTCATGGTCAAACACATACAGTTACTTTTGTAGGAATTACCTTTCTAATCTCCTTTTTCCTGTTGGGTCCCCACTGAGAGCCGGTTCAGGGGAAAAGGAAATACATGACATGACGGCTTAAATTTACCCTGACTTATACAGTCAGAGTATAATGCCATGCAGTTGCCAGAGATAAGGAGTTTATGTTTATCCCAGTTACATAGAAAATGCAGTCTTGCAGCTTTTCCATTTAAAAAATAAAATCACAGGCAGCCCCATCCTAGAGGCCAACAAACCACAGTTAATCAAAACTGCACAGAACTATGGAAACTATGAAATAAATTATGATTTTACCGGTGCTGAAAATGGCCATCCTGACAAGGTTTTCTTTAAGGATGTCATAACTAAGTTAAAGGAATATTAAGTGTTTAAAAGCCAAGGGGAGCTGCTTTTCAAAATCAGAATGTTCAATCAAATTGCACATGGGATGGCCAGAAAGGTTTGGAGAATATACGATCTGCTTTAAGTTTTCCTTTTACCATATTCTTACAGTCTTCTGTATTTCTCCCTGCAAATTGTGCTGCAGCCTTTGCCCTCCTTTGCATTTATTAGTATTACATCTGAATGTAGCTGGAACACTCCGCACTTCAGCTCCAAAATGCTCATACAGGACAGATCCATATCCATAAGCATCTGTGCACACTCATCTCTATGTGCATCCCTCTGATCTGTGAAAGTGTGTGTGTGTTTTACCTACCAGGAGCATGGGCTAGTCACTTTTCAGAGGTGCATAGATAGACTGAAAAAAAATAAAGTCATTCTCCAGATTCAAGCAACATTAGAGGTTGTATTAAAAACTAAAGTTAAAATATGCATCAGGGACTCAACTTCCCTCTAGCAGCTATGAAGTTAGGCTCAGTATTTTAAGGATACACTTCCAATTTTGAGTCCACAATAGCATTTTTTTCTGTATCCATTCTTCCTGGCACACTGTGCAATAAACAGGAATTAGTATCAAACCACTTGTATCCTCTTCTGCTGGAGCAGATTTATTTGGGCTACAGGCAGCTTTTATAACCTGGATCTTGCAGGTTGATCCTCTTTCAGCTTAAGTGAGGACAAGCCCAACAGTCAGATAAGCTTAAAACCACCTTTGCACGTGCAACTTCTCCAGCATAGAAGCTTTTCTAAATTAACACATCTACAAGTCATGCACAAGCCAAAGGTTTCAGTAGAAACACAATATACTGAAGCAGACAAACCCTGATAGCCCATGACTTTGTTACACTGACATAAGAACAACGATGATTCAGAAACTGCTACATTATATGCACTACAATACAAGATGACAGTACAAGTCCATATGTAGGATAATGGCAATTACAAAATATCTGCTACTTTGATTTATCCAGCTAGTGTCCACAGAAGATGATATCATAAGCCTGACTAAGGAGTTAAAGCTCTTCTATTGCTAATTCTTGTCTTTTTTATTCTTCTTCTAAAAGAAATATACCAGCTGCGAGATATATTTCTATTGATAAAACAAGGCAAAGCAAAATCAAATATCAGCATATCAATTGTGAAGGTAAATAAACACGCAAACAAGCAAAAACCTTGCAGAATATTGTATAAGGAGGAGAAAGGCAGCAAGAGGGGAAAAAGTAAATACCTTTTGTTTCACAAGAGAAAGGAAAACAAATCTGTTGTCATTCCTTTTTTAGCAGGCAAATTTTGGAAACTTGTGTGTTGGCTGTATATTGCATTTTTCCATTGAAAATATTATTCCTCTCTGAGATCAGAATTAGGATATTCAACTTCCTTTAAAGAAAAAAGAATGTAAATAACTTCTAAAACCCTTTTTTTTTAATTTTCATATAAAAAAAAGAGAATTTTGCAGTCAGAAATGGGCTTCTTTCAAAAGGATTTAATTGAAATGAACAAACAAGCTGAATAAGACTGTAGGGAGGATGGGGCCAGGCTCTTCTCTGTGGTGGCTGGTGACGGAACGAGGGGTAACGGGTGCAAGTTGAAACCCAGGCAGTTCCATCTCCATGCAAGGAAGAACTTCCTTACTGTGAGGGTGACAGAGCCTGGAACAGGCTGCCCAGAGAGGTTGTGGAGTCTCCTTCTCTGGAGATCTTCCAAACCCGCCTGGATGCAGTCCTGTGCCATGTGCTCTAGGTGTCCCTGCTGGAGCAGGGCAGTTGGACTAGGTGGTCTCTAGAGGTCCCTTCCAACCTCAGCCATTCTGTAACTCTAAAGTGAGAAGTTTATATGTTCTATCTCTGAGAGCAACCTCGGAGCTGAAAGACATAGTGGGCATCAGTGCATAATCATGATGACTGAAGAAACAGAGGCGACTAGAGCATATAATCACAAAAAAATCCTTTATTACAAGTTTAAGTTCTTACTGAAGTGACTGTCATTTATCAAGTGCGCTATGCAAAACTACTTCAGTGTTTCCTGATAACTACTCATGAGAGGAAGACTCCAGCAGACACAATTTTCTTATTTCAGGTCAGCCTAAATCCACTTAGGCAAGAATATGTGGGAACACTATGCATTGCTTGTGTTTTACTTAACATAAGATTAAAAAAAATATCTGTTATCCTACAGTTCATTCTTTCCCTTCATTCAACCAAAGTAATTCGGTGCTTTTATTTAAGTTACAGTAAATCTCAAGATAGGACCTGAACAGGAATTTCTGCTGAATTTTGTACTTCCCATTTATGACGATATCACACCCCCCCACCCACAGCTCAGACTGACAGCCCACGTGCTTAGATGGAGATATCGACACATAAGTCTATAATCCCACCCTTTCTTTTAATAATCTGTGCTCTATTTTGACTCAAGTACCAAATTGGATGACTCTGCATTTTAAAAGGCACAATCTTTGGGTCACAATCTTAGACGGGCCTTTTCTAGAGAACAAAAATACCAGTGGAGAAAACTAAGGTGTACCTGAAATATGGAGATGCCAATGCTCATCCCACAGACAGAGCATTGTGAATCACCAGCTGCAGATGCAACGTGAAGTACCGATATTTGGTGTGTTCATTCACAGCAAAGAATCTGTAGGCAGCACCAACAAGGAGTCTGACCCACATTTAAAACACAGGTAAAACATAACTAAGACTTGGGAAAAAATAGTTCCGGTAGAAAAAAAGGAAGAGATTGCAGGCCAATTTCATACTTCATGTTAATCTGTTGCACTGAGTAAACATCAGAAATTAATTTGGAAAATGCTTTCTGCCCAGCAATGAGCAGCTATGAAATGACCTAGAATCAGCAAAATCTAAGACAAAGAGGAGCAGTCAGTTATGCCTGAAAGTTTAACAAGTTTTAATTCGACTCAAAAATAGGACTTCATTCTGAAAAGGAAATATCTACATGAAATTAATTGTTCACCTAAGGCACACAGAAAGTGAAGGTTATCTTGAATTATGTTTGTTAAAACCTATTGAAAGAGGGACAAAAGTTGCCGTTAGCCATGTCTGGCAATCATACCAAAATGAGTTCCTCCTCAGCAGAACATTTTGTTTTCTAGACCTGTGCAAACGTGTCTCAGCTAACTCCTGGCTGTGATTCAGGATGGGCCACAGTTCGGTTCTCTGAGCTTCCGTTTGTACAAACTCTCCGTTCATCTGTTTCCTCTGTGCTCTGGATTCCACAGGATCTGTCTTACAAGGAGCGGCACTGGCACGAAACCTGTTTCCACTGCTTCCAGTGCAAGAATTCACTGGTGGACAAGCCCTTTGCTGCAAAAGAGGAGCACCTACTTTGTACTGATTGCTACTCCAATGAATACTCTTCCAAATGTAACGAATGCAAGAAAACTATTATGCCAGGTTAGGATTCTTACTTTTTGGACTGAGAAAAGATCAGGTTAAGCATGAAGCCCAAGCCCACTGACACCTGTAACATAAGTCATTCCCTGCCTCCCTCCCTCTCAAGTCACAGTGAGTTTTGTAAATGTATCATAACCACTATTTTAACTTATTCCCATGGCCAGATCACTCAGTTTTCGTAATGAATCTTGATTAAAATGTTACACACATAACATGGATTAACACAAGTCTTGAAATCTACCGCTTATTTCATTTTGCATTTTTATTAACAAGCACTTACATATTTCTATAGAAGTATTTAAGAAAAGACTTTGAAGACTGGTTGGCTAAAATTGGTATTTTCCATCCAAGCCCAGCTTTATATTCTGACTGACTTCCACTGTTTGAACAACAAAGGAAGCTTCTGAATTGAACAGTTTACTTAACTCAAGTTCAGCTTTTTTTCTTTCTTTCTTTTTTTTTTTTGTAAATACTCTAAATTTAGCTTCTTAAATAAGAATAGAAAGCTGGTCAAAGCACCACTAAAGTCTTATTAAACACAAAGATTCAAAGAAACAGGAAAGGTCTATTTGTCTGCTTCAAGACAGAAAAACAGATGTCTAAAACCTGAAGATGCAGTAACAGATTGTTAAAATCTGATTTGCTGATGACAACACAGGCATTTTGTGATGGTTTCAGGGCTTAAAGGAGATGGTAAGTTGGGCTAGAAGTAGAGCATTACAAGGCAATTTGAAGAGCCCATATATCTGCTACATAATTATGAGTGGTTACTTATTCCAGTAGAATTTTTCTACTGGACTGGTTCTTACATTGGTCATCTTAGACAAAAACCACAATTCTGCTTGTGCACCTGACATGCTTTCATTAAAAAATAAAATAAAATAGACAGCTTGGTGATGATATACAGTGTATAAATACAAAACAAAACTTTTTAAAAGCAGATGGCCCCATCCACTCAGGACTCAATATAAGCATCTCCTTCCATTATTCTGTGTGCACCTGTTTCTTCAGATACAGCACTAACAACTGACATGTTTGAGAATAGCCAGTGCTAGTTTTAAATCTGGAAGAGTTTTCTTAAGATAATCCATCAAATCCATTCTCATGATGAGCAAGCTTTTTTACAGAACGTATCTCTGTGTGTTTTGCAAGTTACAGATTGGTAAGTAGTAACGGAGGCTAGATTCAGTGACCCAGAGAGTCACTTTTCTTATAAACTGAAATGGAAGAAATCATTGTTTTTTTAATGAAGCTTCACAAACACTGATTGGTCTCTAAATGCTTCCCCAAGACAGAACAGATGCCACCACATTCAGAAAGCAGAACATCCAGCCTGTGTCTTCTGCTGACATTGTAGACCATGTGAGCACAGGAGTTAAAATGGAGCACTGTGGCCATCAAGTGAAATTATAATTCATTTTGAAGGAACCAGCAAGTGGTTGGACACCTATTATGGAAACTTTTAATGCTACACTTGCCCTTTGCTTTGCTCCATTAAATGCACATTTTAGATTTAATAAAACATTATCATGATAAGCATATGAGATACTAAGTTAATTAATTATAAGCGTGGTCTTTTAGTTCTGCTGCAAATTGAATTCTGACTTCAATTCTGCAGGTAATGAACAGGTCTCTCCCTGCGTTGTGTTTCATGATAGCACAACTCCAAGTAAAGCCCAGCCAAAAAAATGAAAATAACTTCAGTGTTCTGCATCTTTCCCCAAGATGCCAATCCTTCAAGGACTGATTCATTAACCAACACACAAAATGATCTTTGTAGAAGCTGTCCATTAATAAAATGGATCAGTAATATCAGTCAGTACCAGATAGGCTGGTCAGTCCCCTCCTAAAAACTTGATAGCATGCCTGTTGCTACTTAAGCATCGTCTGCTTGCTGTTTCTTCTGGCTGGTTCATACTGGGACATAGTGACCGACACACTATATAGAACATGAAGAGATTTGCCCATTTAACGGGGCATCTCCAATTCTATATAAGGAGTCATCTGTGTAACAGTTGCTTTAGTTACTAACAGAATTGCACTCTCAAAGTTGTAAACATACCAGTAAGTGTCACAAAAGGGTAGGTGTCAGCCCGCAGCAGCCTGGCTCACGCTCTGGTTGCGTTGCAGGCACTCGGAAGATGGAGTACAAGGGCAGCAGCTGGCACGAGACCTGCTTCATCTGCTACCGCTGCCAGCAGCCCATCGGGACCAAGAGCTTCATCCCCAAGGACAGCCAGAACTTCTGTGTGCCCTGCTATGAAAAGCAGTTTGCCATGCAGTGTGTCCAGTGCAAGAAGGTACTGCTTTTGTTACCGGAGGTATCGCGGAGGAGGAAGATGGCTAGGACAGACCTAAGCAAAATGACCTACAAAGAAGGCTGGGCTTAGAAAGGACAGTTCAGAGTGACATTATACAGTGTATAAGGAATAAAACACTGTTAGCATGAGGCATCTTTGTATAAATTGGGAAACAACAATGAATCGCTTGCATTCTTGGGGTCAGCTCCTCCCCAGAATTGTGACTTTGCTATTGAACTTTCTCTCTCCCCTATACCTCCCACCAGCAAAAACCTTAGCGCCCTTCCTCCCTACCAAATGAAGGCCGAGACCTGACTCCCTCACGAAAACACTTTGTGTCTCACTTCCCCCAATCCAGGCTATCACCACGGGCGGCGTTACGTACCGGGAGCAGCCCTGGCACAAGGAGTGCTTCGTCTGCACCGGCTGCAAGAAGCAGCTCTCCGGGCAGCGCTTCACCTCCCGGGACGAGTTCGCCTACTGCCTGAGCTGCTTCTGCAACCTCTACTCCAAGAAGTGCGCCGGGTGCACAAACCCCATCAGCGGTAGGTCTCTCACAACCGCAGCTTCCGCTCCAAGTGCTGTTTAAAAGGAAAATAAACTGCTTCCAATATTAAAAGTGGTTAGTAACTCACTTTGAATGGCTTGAGAGAATAAACACTATTCACTTCAGGAGTCTGTGGTATTCAGTTACCTTACGATGCCTTGTGGACACTGTGAACACTGTTTTTCTGTTCATGCGAAAGACTCATTCCTCTTCTGAATAGTGCAGCCCTATCATTTTTCAAAATGCTGCTACAAAAACAAAAATATCCTCATTAGTTAAAGGACATGTCCAACTGTTAAGTCTCTTCACTGACTCCCAACTACTCATCCCAATATATCATATTCCAATGACCTGCTATCATTCTCAAGGTTAAACAGCAGATAACTCCTACCACACCAGAGACTGGTGCCCCCTTGCTTTCTCCTCAGTACCTTTTATCTTCAGTACCATTTATACCAACCTCCCTACCTTCAACTTTTCTGGAATATTTTTGCATTTTACAAATCTGCTTCCTGGAGACATCTCTCTTTGAAAACCTATGAATCAAGTCACTGCTTAAAGTGTTAGCCTTCATTTAAAATGCATTTTCTATAAAAGACAATTGACCTAAACATTATAAATGTTCCTGTAAGAACCTACCAAACTAGCGCTTGATGGCTGATGCTCTGTTATTTTCTCCTAACCAATGCTTGTGGTCTCTACACAGGGCTCGGAGGAACCAAGTACATCTCTTTTGAAGAACGGCAGTGGCACAATGACTGCTTTAACTGCAAGAAGTGCTCCCTCTCCTTAGTAGGACGTGGCTTCCTCACAGAACGGGATGACATTCTCTGCCCTGAATGCGGAAAGGATATTTAAGGCTCAAAAACAAGGTGGGGAAAGGAGGGCACACAATGTGCAGAGGAAGCTGTGCTTACAGTATATACTTTAGCTTTGGCATTCTGTGTTTCTCTGTACCATTCACATCATTTAACCTTTTCCTTCAAACTCTCCAAAGCTGGAGGGAAAAACAACTTCAAAAGCTCTAGCAGCAGTGTTGGTGTTTAAGAGTTTCTGCAGCTAACCAGAACTAACGCAAAACCTGAGATATAAAACCGTATAGGTATTACTGACTTGCTCTTCTCTTCACTAAATATTCCAGTTTAAGCATCTGATTTAATTTACAAGTAAGTGATGCAGTTCAAGGATTATGACGACTACAAACAAATTCAGGATAGATATTCAGGATGAAACCCTCAAACCATTGAAATCAATGGCAAATCATCACTTTCCTTAAGGCTAAGGTCTCACTTCAACGTCCTTGAGCTATGTAGCTAGTGTGTGCTGACAAGTGCATAGAACGACTAAGACTGTAGTGTGTTTTGATGTACAAATAAATGTGCCATGCTGTAAAGACAATGAAAAGAACAGCTGAAGTGGGAGTGCTGTGTAACAGGTGCATATTTTATTGCATGACTAGCTCATCTTTGTGTTAAGTACAAGTTCTGACTGACAATATTACAGTTAGTTGACATTACACTGCACACTGTATTTTTCAAAATAAAACCATTTAAAAGAAAACTTAGTGTTTTAACTAAATAAACATATTTTATATTTACAAATAAGATGTGTGTTAAGAAATACAACGCAAGAGCCACACAAATACAATTCTTTTCATCCCACAAGTCATTACGAATTTCTCGAGTTTCAGTGATCTTCATATGGGTCCCAATGATACAGCATGTAAGTCTCCTATTAACTCAAATGAGTAGGAAGTTAGCAGTGAAACTGAACAACTGTGTGAAAATAATTAACAGCAGCTGGTAACACTGTGCTTTTAGCCTATAAAGTCAAAATCAGCACCAGATTTTCAGCAACAGAGAAGGTCAAGACAACTCCAAAGATGCTAAGCTTCTGCTTTTTGCAGATGAACGGCTATACTAGGGCAAGATTTAACTTGGCCATGTATACAACACGTAGCACCTTTTCTTCTGGCCTCATTTGTGCTGCACACTTGCTAGAAAGGTAGGTGGCAGGACACGCTTGCTAGAAAGGCAAGTGACACAATAGCATGCTGGCAGGGCAACCAAATAGAGGGAAAGCCAAGGTTGGTACCTTCTAACCAAAACAAACTTCAAGGACCATGGCCTTGTCATGCACTGCCTGATCCCTGTGCACTTTCCAGGGGGAACTGTTTGTATCCGTGGTAAGGAGGAAAGCAGTCTCACCACACCTCCAGCAGGGATCTTCAGATGTCGAAATAAGAACTGGGAATGTACCTACTATGTGTGTAAATGGATAAGGAATTTTTGCCATCTTTTCCTGCCATCACTCCTAAATTTCTCTCTTTAGTACCCAGCCTAAAGTGATGCCCCTGTCAATTCAGCGAGCGAAATACTTCCATCAAACCAGGTTTGGTCTCTTGGGTGCCATTTGAAGAATTTGGCTGCCAGACGCTTTTGAAGCACACACCTTCCTAACATAATCCCACTGGATGACAGAATCCTGTCCTCGGTGACTCCATTCTGTGGTGAAGGCCACGGTACAAAGGCATACGTGTCCTCTTATTCCCAGATCTCCAAAGGCAGGTGAGCTCTGACCTCCTCTCCTTTAGGTCCTGGGGATTTCCCCAGCATTTTTCAGCTCTGCTCTGGTACTTTGCTGCTATAGGAAGCAAAGATGTTTCTATGAATGTAAGAGAGCAGTGGAAAGCAGTTAGGAGAGCAAGGCTTGCATCCCGTCTGCATCCTGCGCCAGTGCTAGGAGTGGGGTAGATCATAACAAGCCTGAAAGTCAGGTCAGCCTTAAAACAAGGCCATTATCATGTGGTGGTGGCATCAGGCTGTTATTCCAGCTCACTTCAACATGCCATGCTTTTAAAGACACCAACGTACACACTTCTAGCAACTGGAGCTACTGCAAAATACAGCAGAGACAGCAGCCAAAAAAGGCCACCCAAATCCTGAAGTCCTGACTGTTACAACAGTGCAAGGATGAGCACATCATACAACTCCTAATCCAAAGTTAATTCCTGATGCTTATTCTTAAGTTCCAGCCACTTCAAGTCCACTGAATTATAACTGTATAAAAGTCTGTAAAATGAAGAGGCTATAAAAATACACCAGCACTACTTCTATTGCTTTTAATTTAGTTTATTTAAATAGGGTAAGGCTACTTAAAAGACAACTCTTTACATACAAAATGTACATTACGTTAAAGTTTGCTGTACTCAAGTACAAAAACTGCACAAGTGTTTAGTAAAAGGGAAACAGCACACGATATTTCAAAACACACATTCATACCATTTTACAGCATTCAAGAAGTGCCTTTTATGTTGTAACAGTGAATGGAGAGTTTCTGTCAGTAATGATTATGCTACAGATTTTGGTTTCAATACTAAATATTTAAAATGTAAACAAGCTTTCAGATCACTACTGACAGCATCTCTTAGTGGGTTAACTAGGCAAATTCCTGCTGCATATGACACTAACAGTTACCCCACTGAAATCCATACAGAAAATCAAAGTCTACCTCATATAATTACAGGAAGAGAAGGTAAAGAGCTTTTTTTTTTTTTTTTTAATTAAAGAGTACCACTACATACACCAATATTCCTCTTCCTCTCCAACTTCCAGGTAGCCCTGACTTGCATTCCACATGTTTCTCCCATATTTTATGAGCATGATTGTAACCAGGAAAGCAAGCAAATATGCTACAAAGGCATACTTGCATACTAATGTATGTACAGAATATGCCTGTGTGTATATAAAACAACATGGCACTAATCCATTCATTACTTCCTCTCAAAGACTCCTTAAAGACAGTCTAATAACGTGCTTCCATCTGTGCATTTCCTATTTCGTATGACAATAAGAGGAACTTCAATTTGAAGTAAAGCTGTTACATAGTTCATCTCTTATTACCAACCTAAACTGACTGTAAATTCTACGCTCTTGTTCTGCATAACAAAAAGAAAAAAAAAAAAAGTCTCAGACCATCTGGTCAGCAGAATGGCCAGTCTCTTCATCTAAATTAACTACCTTTATGAAGCCAAGAAACTTCTTGAGTTTAGTAACAATTTTAGCTCTCTAACCAAAAGTGGATCAAAATTAAAATCTTACTGAAAACAAACAAAAAAACCCCATTCATATTATATGCATGATTTGTAGGGACATGCAGGAGATGAACTATAATAACCTTGAGAACTAAAAATAAAGGCTTTTAGTATACTATTAATACTAACACCTTTTAAAGGGGGAATGAAGTATTCGGCATACAATAGCAGACACTCTTAAGGTGACTGGTGATAATGACTTCAGTTTTACCATAGGGAAGTTTTAAACTTGTTAAAACTTCACGGCAAGCTGAATCAATCCCTGTAAAGTCTAAAAATAAGTGAATTAAACGGTTCAAATATGACTTATCTGATCAAAAATATGGAAGCAATATTTGTTTTGAGCACCATTTGCTACTTCATGGCCATGTAACATGCTGGATTTTCTTCTTCGCTTCTGTAGGCTTTAGGTCATTCTAGAATAGAAAAAAAATACACAAATGCTGTTAGGTTTGTTACATCAACCTGAAAGTTGTAGTTAATTTCAATATTCAAATCTAGTATTGACTACTGATGTACTCAGCTACTACAGTAGTGGCTTTCTATTGCCATCTTGTGGAGAAAGTTAAAACATCAGAACTCCTGGAGAGGTGAGGGAATTAAAAGGCAAATGAATTCAACTGCCTACAAATCAAGTACTTCTTTTCCTTTTCTGTTCTTAGTCCTAGAATTAGCTATGCAAAAGCATTTTTCACTAGGAACATCATGCAGCGTAGAAACAGATACATACTAGATTTTCAAAATTCATACCTCCAAAAGATTTCAGACTGCTTTCTCAAAATACTTAAAAAAAAAAAAAAA